TAATTAAAAACTCCATAGATGCAGGATTAACTGGAACACAGATAATATACATATGTAAGCAAGCAATATAATAATCTCATATATACTAATTCTGCTGAATAAACTTACTATGAGATGAGAGCATCTTGCACTTCTCACAGGAATCACTGATGACAGGAGGGTTCTGAGCTTGGTGATTACTTTTGAGTGGTGTGTGCATGTCTTCATCTAGAGTTTGATCAACTCCGGGTGAAACACTACCATTACCTTCATTACCACTCAAATTGACATCATCAGTTGCACCAAATTGCAGAATACGTTTCGCAGATGAAACATTATCTGATTTAAATGCAAGACTATCGCCAAAAGACTCAGTCTGCTTTACATTAGCATTGTCAACTCGCTTCTGACGGAGAATAGCAGCCTTCTCAGCTGCCTGCTGAGGTGGCAACTGAACGCGCTCTCCCAAAGCTCGGGCAAGTTGAAGTGCAGTAGCAACACTAGGGTCAACTGGCTTAGCTTTCGCTTGACGCTTAGAACCATCTGATTGAAGGCCATTATATTTATCCAGAAACTTCTTCTCTGCATTGTTAAGGGTCTTCATACATTCTGAGAGACAAAGATACAAACAATTAGTTTATATCCGAGGAAGGAGAATCGAAATAGAACATAACCTTCCACATTACATAACCTTTAATAACTTCAGTAAGCTTTCAAACGAGTGGAAGTTGAGAAGAGAAACGTGCTTGTGCACAGTTGGAGGTTAGGTTCAAACAACCGAGAAGTTTGCAGAGAAAGAAAACGCAACGGGAAAACATGGGAGAAGCTAGGTTATGTAGTTTGACTACCGGAACGAACTTAGACACGACGTACAGATTAAAACCTGTACTTACTTGATAACTTGATTATCTGCGCCGGGTACGCTGATCCATCTTGCCACTTCACTTTTGACACTTTGCCGGGCTCCCTATCGCACTCCGGAACTGATGCTACTTCGACAATACTAGTCATCTGATCGTCCACCCAAAAGACTAAAACGTGCGTAGCCATTGTCAAACAGCTGACACTAGACACAATCAACTACAAGTATCGTCACACACGAGAAGCACGGCAACAGTTTACTGTCACGGAACAGCTGATGTGCAGACAGCGGGTTGTAGGCTTAAATGCAATGTGGACTTATTCTAGTATTCACGTATCGCAAACGTCGACTTTTTGACCTCTTCAACCGCCCGGTGTCGGTCAGATTCGTATCAAGTATCTTCAACAGAACACACTTGAACAAACTTTTCAACGCCAATCCGTTCCGTTCCATTATTTTAAAGTTTCAACTCCACCCAACTCGCGGCGTCAGCTGTTCGCCTCCCCGCTCTCAGGGCCCTCAACTCGGCTCGGCGGCTCGGCTCGGCGGGCTCACCCCGTCCAAAATATTGACAGCAGACCGCACAACGTTTAGTAACAACGAGATGTCCTTGTTATTTATTTAACAACAATAATGTCATCGAGAATGGGGCGGTGGAGGCTTTGCAGGCGAGCAGACGAACTTGTGGTTCCAGAAGCGGCTAGTGACAGTGACTCTGCAGATGAAGCTGAGCCTAGACGTGTGAGGTTAAGGTTGGACCGAGCACTTCCTCAAGAAGGTAATTTCTTTTTCTGTTTGCTCCTTTTGTTCTGATGGGCGCTGTAGAGCTGAACGCTAATTTTAGCTTTCTTTAATCAACAGTAATTCAGGATATTTTTTATAGAGGTTAACAAAAGTTTATCTGAGCCTGAAGCTGAAGGTGTACACTTTGTTTTTGTTTTCATGACAAAAAATACTTTGTAAATCTAGTTTAATAAATTATGGCACAACAAATTTATAAGTAATCAAGAGTCTCACTTGAGTTATTCTTCTTTGATGAAGCTGTAGCTGACGTCATCCGATCACGGCTTGCAGTTTTTAGCTTTTTGTTCACTGATTTAATGAATGCATTAAAAGTGAAAGACGGGAGTTCCTTCCCCTTTTTGTCCACTCTCCCCGTTAATTTAGAATTGCGGCAAACAAAGCCTGGAAAACAGAATTTTTTTTTTCAACCAAGTTTAAAAAGCAATAATTATTCAAAAGAGTGTTAATGTGCATACACTTACTGAATATATTTTGGAGATCAGTCTCTCCAATACCCAGCTTCTGTTTGCCTTGTCCAAGGGCTGATATGCCTGGCTGCCGTAGCTTGTCCCCATAGAGTACAGTCAAAATTTCCCTGGTGAGCCTGTCAGGGTCCCCATTGGCAGACAGGACTGCCTTTGATTTTGAAGCCTTTTTTAAGAAAAGGCCTGACCCGGCAGTAAGTTCGACCTGAAAGTAACAAGAAGTTAGATAGATCCAATATGAAACTTAAATGACAGAGTAGAGCAAGTAGATATACCTTTTTATGGCCACATTCCACTGTTAAAGGTTGCAAATGGTTTACCTGAAACAAAAGATTACTGTGAAAAGACCATGAAATAAAGTAAAAGAACTGGAAGGGCATACATACGCACCTCACCAATGCTGAGAGAATCACCATCTGCCGTGTACGAGAGGTTCGAAGAGACAGGTACCACATTGCAAAACTTCGACAAACTAATTAAAAACTCCATAGATGCAGGATTAACTGGAACACAGATAATATACATATGTAAGCAAGCAATATAATAATCTCATATATACTAATTCTG